AGCATTTGTATAAAGTATTGCTTGAGAGGTGATTGATTGATTGTTGTAATGAAAAACTTAAAAAGAATCAGTATATGCTGAGATACTTGTTAGAGAATGCATCACCAAAAGGCCCAGATTAAATAAGTTTAAAAAGGGCATTTCTTTAGTGTGTTCACTCTTTACTCCAGATCAAGCTGTAAAACCTTTACCAGCAGCTAACAGTAAGTTATTCTAGCACAGATCATGTAATTTATAAAAGTAAACTGATTCTGTGTTTCAGAGGCACATGTGAAAATTCACATTGTTGGATATAATGGAGCAGTAACTAAATAAAGTGACCTTTGATTAAACTCATTGCATGTGTGTACTATTACTGTACAGATTTAATGGAACATGCTCATAAACATCTTGCAAATGTTAGACAGTAAATTTTGTGCAGTTTTACATCTTTGAATACTTTTACACAGAGAGAAGTTTGAGGGGAAACACCAGGGGGACTGGAAATTAACATGTTAAAACAATCACTGTTCAAACAGGTTCTTTCTTTTCAGTGACATATTTATAAATGTTACTGAAAAGAAAGAACCTGTAGATTGGTTTTGGACAGTTTACTTGGCCTGAAGTGGAGAGTCTGGTGACAAGCTTTTAATGCTTTTCTCAGTGAAACTGGCTTTGGAGCAACCCTGCAGAGTTGCACCATCATCTTGGGAAGATTACAAATTTTTGTGGTGTCTCACTGAAAGTTTAGCTATAAATAAAACATTATGTATTAAAATTAGAAAATAATCAGGCTCAGCCAAACCTTTCCACAGAATACAGAGTTTAAGGTTCATGAATCAACTGTCTGCTAAATTCCAAGTTATTGCACTATTTTGTTCTTTAAAGCTTCCACTTACAAAATGTTTTAAAACATAAGTTCCCCTTCTTTAACACAGTTCAAAATGAATTTTTGCAACTATAAACCTCAGAAACAGAAGATCACGTTCATCTTGCTGCATAGATGAATCATAACGAACTTTGAGGGTTTTTGGGTCTTTATATGCATAGATAATACGCATTATATTTTGTCAACCATTGCACTTGAATATTTTCAGTTTTATTTTTTTTAATTTGCATCCCCGCATCCTCACCCGCTGCCACCAGCAGCACCACCGTCACTTCGCAGGCAAACGAGGCTTTTCTGCCCGACATTATCTTCATCCAGACTCCGCTGGAAAGGAAGCTGAAATGACGGATGCGATCATGGGAGAGGTAGCAGGGGATAGTTTATTTACATCGGAAGAGGCTCTGTAAGTTTAGAGGGAAGCCGATGCGTGTGTCTCCCTCTACTTTCACGGACCCCCTCCTCCTCCGCTGGCAGAAATTTATAAAGAACAAAAAATCTGACGAGGGAGGGAGGGGGGTTGATATACGCCGAGGCTGAAATCGAGAGGCGAACCCAGGGAAAGAGGAGTAATTCGTACCCGTGACTTTCCCCCTCTTAGTCCCCCAAAAGGAGGGGGAAAAGTCGCAATATTGGAAACGGAAAGGAATGAGGTTCTAAAGGTGTGAAAACGACTGCAATTGTGGATACTTTATATATTTTTATTTCGAAAAAATATGGCCGAGAACGTTCTGGACTCTGGCCCGCCTTCAGCCAAGAGGCCTAAACTCTCCTCTCCGGCACTTTCCGCGTCCGCCAGCGATGGAAACGGTAAGTACTGGCTCAGGTTGTAATTTGGTTTGGTGTTATTCGTTGAGTTTTTTGTTTTTGAACGGCTCGTGGTTACTTAAAAGAGGAGGGAAACGCGGGATTACGCTTCTGTTTTTGTCGTAGCTTGCTAATGTTAGCGTGCTAGTAGTACGTGAAGAAACGCTCCCCGTCTAGCTCGCATGCTAACAGCCATTTTAGCCGGAGGTAGCTACTAGCCATTCAGCTAGCGCTAGGCTAGTCCACTCGAACGCGGATCCTGTCCTGACGGTCCCGTGTCTAATGACTACTTTAGCCGGGCTGTTTGTAACCCCATTGCCAGTCAAACTTACGATGAAGTTTCTTGGTGTCATAGAGTTGTCTTAAATTGACAGCCATGTATACGTACTGCTATTCTGTACTCGAGTTTTTAGGCTGCTAGGGTTTAAAACAACCTTGTTTTGCCCCATCATAACTCGGACCCTTTCTTAACTGCCGTAAGCCATCGTTAATGATGTTAGCGAAGACAGAGGTTGCAGACGGTGGTGCTGCTAGCCTGGTGAGAGCTAAATTTAGGCCCACGGGTCCGACTGATTGTTAAGCTCAAACTGCCATTGTTGGTACGTTTTTTTTTCTGCGTGTGTGTGTGGATGGCGTGTGGCAGCAGCTGGAATAGTGGCCCGAGAACGAAACGGTGGAGCATGGACACAGCGCCATGCCTAACCACCGAGCTGCTAACCAGAAAGCCCAGTTAGTGACCGAATACTACTACACGCACGAAATATTCACCCAGATTTCATCACTTAGACATTCACTCAGTCGTTACACCAAAGCCAGCTGCGTCTCTGCCCGCCTGCTCGGCAATAAGAGATACCATTACAGTTAAATTAGTCAGGCACTGCACACATTTCCGTCACCTTGCAAAGTATATATCGATGACAGACGCATTACTGCCAAAAGATAAACACGATCTGAGGATGTAATTAACTGCACTCAAAATTATTCTTCGTGTCACTGCCATGAAGTGTGGTTGTTGCCGAAAGATGCTTCCCGTTGATGTCTCCAGTTGTCTTTAAATCGTAGCATTAATTGAACTGCAGATTATTTTCATGGATGGTAGGTCTATTTGAAAAAGCATTTGGTCTACAAAACAACAAGAAATAGTAAAGGTGCTACCTAAATACCTTAGTTAGTTCAGATAGCTCCCAAAACCCAAACTTTAACATTTACAGCAATGCAATACTTAAAACAAACAAACAAAAAAAAAAACCTGTTACTCAAATGTTATAGCACTGAACCAGTGAACCCGTTGCATTTGTATTTTAAATAAGGGTTAAGTAATTATTTGTCTAATACTTCTGCTTCCTGAGGGGAAAAAGTTAAGTGTGGACAGAATAAAAGCATGTTTCAAATGTTTGTGAGCTGCAGTGAATTTATGTTTAACTTAGTTATGTTTAATTGCTGACTGCCACATTTCTTTGTAATGTGTCAGATACCTAACTGATTGTAATGTGTATGTTACACATTACTTGGTAATGTGTAGCATAAAAATTGTGTTTGACTGAACGGAATATAGCCTGCTAAAGCTTGGATTGCTGTTCGCACTAGAAAGAATTTATCCCCTGTCCCTGTGTTACCAATTTTTGTGGCCTTACTTCGATGAAATAGTCCATTTGTCAGCCTGTCTGTGCAACACTTTGAATGTCTTTACTGATCAGAGAGTCTTTCTTTAAACTTGGGTAGTAAGATTAGTTTTAAATCACACATCACACTGTTGGTTTACTGTTTTTTCTTGGATACAAAGCCTGCCACTAAAAACTTATCTGTCTCTGCAGATAGTAGATAGTACAGTAGATACTACAGATTTTTTTTCTCTCTCTTGACTAGAAGTGGTGGTTATTATTGTCCCTCACTTTGCTTCATTCAGCATTGTTGGTCATTGTTGGTTAGCTGCTATACTTTGTCATGCCATTTTCTCTTTTACAAAATGTGTTAGACTCACAAGATGCATAGTGTGTCAAATGAATATCGTCCTACTCGTGTCACAGCTGATCACACTTTTGGTCATGTCATATGGAGGGAAAAATGCTTGGACAACACTGTTTTTATTTTATTCATCATATAAGTTTGTCATGTTGCCCATCTCTAAATCATTTACTGGTTCGGTGCTCAGTGTTGTTGCATTGGATAGTATGTTTTAAATTTCTGATGTGAGAAAACTGGTCATGCATGATCAGCTTTCATCAATTTTTGATGTCAAGCAAGTGATCACATTTTCACTTGGTCATGCTTAAATATGATGGATTATACCAGCTTAACATAGCTGTGGTCCCTGTTGTCCTCCTCCTCGCTCTTTCTCTGCTTTTTTTGCCTTCCTGAACTTGCCTTTCTTCATTTCAGATTTCGGATCTCTTTTTGAATTGGAGCACGACCTCCCAGATGAGCTCATCAGCTCCAATGAACCAGGTCTGGTCAATGGCGGGGACCCTAACCAGCTGCACACCACTCTAGGAGGAGGACCGGCATTGTTGGGTCCTGGAGGCGGTGGTGGAGGGGCAGGAGGATTGGGTCTTGGGCTTGGTCATGGTCCTGGGGGAGTTGGTGGAGGGCAGGATGCAGTGGCCAAGCATAAACAGCTGTCAGAGCTTTTGCGTGCAGGGGCAACACCCTCAACTCAGCCGGGGCACCAAGGAGCCATGGGTAGCCCAGGAGGCCCCGCTGCCATGGGGCAGCACTTAGCGAACATGAAGGCGTCCCCTGGTCAGGGGCCTCAGCAGATGATGGGCCAAGGACAACACCTTTCCCCTCAGCAGCAGGCCAACATGATGCAGCAGCAGAGTGCTGCAGGTGGAATGATCAGGACCATGATGGGAGCACAGCAGAAAGGCAGTAATGGACAGCAGCAGCCAGGCATGATTGGGAACCAGGTGATTAATGGCTCTCCAAGGATGGGTTTCGGCAATCAGGGGATGGTCGGTGGCAGCAACCTTTTGGCTGAGACCCTACAGCAGCCGGGAGCTGGGGGCCAGGCTGGGATAAGAGGCCAGCAGCCTGGAGCAATGAACAAGGTAGGCAGTGCTTCAGTTGCAGACTTATAGATTTTTTTTTTTTTTTTAAAGGAAAAAAAAAATCTATATTTGCAAGAAGCTTGCAAATGCAAAATAGTGGAAATTAAGCCTTGCACACACTTACTCTTATTTGCCTTAATAGTAATTTGTTCATCTGTGAGGTAATTTTCTAAATGAGACTGAATTTTCTTCAGCCTTACAATTTCAAAACCTAAGAATTTAAGCAGGCATAGATGTATAATTATGAAAGGTGTTCTCACGTTTTTTCATTGTTAACAAAGTTCTATTTGGAGACACTTAGAGTTAAGACATAATGTTTAGGTGCACAAGAAATTCTCAAATCCTGTTTTTATTTCTTAGAATTTCTTATTCTTTGCTGCGGACTTCAGTTTGTTCTCAGATGGTTAAAGGTTCATGGTTGTATTTGTTTATTTTAACAAACGCAAGTAGTGCACTTGGGTTTGTTTTTTTGGAGTCCATCTGTGTGATTGACAGTCCCACAGGAGTGATGGTAAAATGTTGTAGCTGCAGGTACTGGTGATGAAGACGATTCACTGTGGTAGAGCTACTGATGGTTGTTTTTTACCCAATCAAATGCAATGAGTGGGATTCCTGGTTAGGAATAGGTTAAAGAAAAAACTCTGATGAGCTTGTGTTGGCCTCCTCAGTGTGGAGGGAGAAAAGAGAATTGCATCAGAATTGCTGTTGCATTCTCTCCTGCTGTGAATTGCTGTTTTCGTTTGTTTCAGGTTGTATTCTAATGATGTGGTTAAAACATGTTCTATCTCAACTACTGTGAGATTTCATTGACTTAGTTGCTCCTTTTTAACTTTCGGTCTTATGAAGTTCATGGTTTGAGGAAATATCCACAAATCCAGTTTATTTAACAACTGAGACTTGGGTTCTTGAGACTTGGTTACACTACAAGATTATTTGGTAAAATAAGAGCACAACGTGCTGGCATGTTTAGAGCTCAGATGCTCAAGTCATCCTCATATCAGTGACAAGCAGTTTAACAAAAAGAAGGCATAGAATTATTTTAAGTCTTGTTTTATCCTTGTCTTCATTATTGACAAAAATTAAAATAACTTGTATTTTCATTTGCTAGATGGGGATGATGGGGAATCCAGGGGGGCCCTTTGGAGGCCCATATGGAAGTCAAGGAAATCAAGGTCTGGGAGGCGCAGGGCTGGGCCCTCAGCTCCAGAACAAAGGTTCCATGGCTAATAGCATGGCCCAGTTCAATGTGGACAAGAAGAACCAGCCCATGCAAGGAATGGGCGCCATGGTAAGGAAGAGATGTTCAAGAGAATGTTTTCAATAAATAAGTTGTATTCTGATCCGTGTTATGAATTAGTAGATTACTATAAACTCTAGGACAGTACCAGATACTGATGCTGGTTGATAGCCAGTAATGATGAAAATGTTTTCTGTTATTTTATTTTTATCAAATTGTATCAGTGAATCAGAAGATCTTCATTTAAAAAAACAACAACAAAACAAACAACTTGCATGTTTAAAATATTTTAGTTCTCCATCATACTGGTTGTGAGCGTTTAGCAAAAATTGATGTGAAAGAGTCAGACAATACAGATATCTGTCAAATCTATCATTTAATCTCCCAACACAATCAGAAACTAGATTACCTCTTCCTGCTGCATTACCTCTTCATGTCCTGTCATTTGACTTGAGCACTCAGTACTCTAGTATTGCTGTAAACACCATCCTTTTATTTTCATCCTCCACCTCCTCTTCCATTTTTGCTCCCTCTAATCTTCTGCCTTCTCTTTATTCTGTTTCTTTTCTCTTATTTCCTCCGTCTCACCTTGTCTTGTTGTCGCCCACTTTCTTTCCAGGGCACGCAGCAGTCACAGACAGGTGTGGGTGGTCCCACAGGTGCACCTGTGGGAGGAGCCCCCGGGATGGTGCCGGGCGCTCAAGCAGTTGGTACCCAGGTTTCTGCAGCATCCGCTGCAGCTGGAGCACCGCCCACAGCCGACCCTGAAAAACGCAAGCTAATCCAGCAGCAACTGGTACTCCTGCTACATGCACACAAGTGCCAGCGGCGGGAGCAGGCCAATGGTGAAGTCTGGCAGTGCAACCTGCCCCACTGCCGGACTATGAAGAATGTCCTCAACCATATGACTCACTGCCAGGCTGGGAAGTCCTGTCAGGGTAAGTAGAAGGATGCTGCATCCTCTTGGTAACACTGGATAAAATAATCCCCTCTGTAGCTGTCAAGCTGGCAACGTTCCTCGTAATGAAAGTATATCTCACCTATTAAAATGGTTTAGTGCTTAAGCACATGAAGCTTAATTTTATTATGCTACCTGATTTTTGAGAGTAGTACTTAAGAAAAAAACCCCAGCCCCCCTCCCCCCTCCTTCTCTAATACACATCCATTTCCCAACTCCTGATTCCATATCTGTTTTGCCTCATTGACCAACAGTTGCTCACTGTGCATCATCGAGGCAGATCATCTCCCACTGGAAGAATTGCACGCGACATGATTGTCCTGTCTGCCTGCCGCTGAAGAATGCCGGGGACAAGAGGAACACGCAGTGTGAGTGTCTGTATCCGACCAAACAAAAGAATATACCTTCCTTCATACCATTGGATAAATTTTTTAGATACTGTGCTGTTATCATTATCAATATATTTACACATTTATATTGTGTAAATATATTAATAATGACAAAGTCTGATGTTCAGAATCAGAATACTTTATTAATTCCGAAGGAAATTAGGGGTTAACGTTCTAATGCTGATAATGTAAGTATGATTTTGTACTGGGTTTGAAATGACAGCGTTGTTTTGAATATACTAGTCAGTATTATATTATAGCACAAAAATAGAATAATTTTTGCTGAATTTTGTTTAAGTATTCAGTAAATGATTTTTTTTTTTTTTTAAATTCTAAGCTGATTTTATTTATCCATAACTTTTGCTTTTTGTGTTCTTACAGCTCTACTTGCAGGGGCTGCTACAGGACTAGGCAGCTCACTTGGTACAATCCCTGGTAGCCAACCAAGTGCTCCCAATCTCAATCAGCCGAGCCAGATTGATCCCAGCTCTATAGAAAGGGCCTATGCTGCTCTGGGCCTCACCTACCAAGGGAACCAAATCCAGGCTCAGACTTCCCAGCCTAACATGCCCAACCAAGGCCTTCAAGGGCAGGCTGGTGTGAGGCCTCTGAACCCAATGGGTGAGTTTAGTTTATTTTCAGTAAAAAGACATTGTCTGAATTGTCTGCTCTTTTACAGCTTAATGCTAAGCATTTCTTTTTTTCAATGCCCGCAAGCGGTTAGGACCTTCAGCTTTCAGAATGAGTGAATTGTATACTTAAAGTGGCTTTTCAAAAGCTGTTTATCGCTGGTGGGAGCTATGAAGATAGCTATATAAAATTGTCTGTCAGATGTCTCCATTAAAAATAATCATCTCAAGAATATGTTCCATGCTATGTAGCTAATCCTAACCCCTGGACATGTTGAAAAACATGTCCAGGCAAAAGCTTGTCCATTGTGTCCTATTGTTAGGATGACACTGAGAATAAACATATATAATTTCCTTTCTTTTCTATGC